AGATTTGTAGTCATCACCAGAGAGGCCAGAGATGAGCCAGATATGTGAGCGATCAGATTGGATGGTATTCAGGTATAGATTTCATGTCATCTTAAGAAATAACCCTGAGCCCGGCTTTCCTCTAGCCTTTAGTGGAGATGTATTCAGAATCGAAGGCAGGCGGCAGCTTGAGAAATACAAAAGTGTTTAGCAGCCAAGCACCTTAATGGGGTAGATGACAGCTTCTTTGACTAATCGCTTGGCATCCTCCAGGCCTATAATGTCGTCCCAGCGCACGTTGGGGTTATGTAAATAGATATCCTTTATGGAGAGACAGGATAGAAAGATGAAATCGAGTGCTTCAATAATACATGTTCCACCTTCTGTATGTATCTAAAACATTATTTGTATTCTGAAGTGTATATATAGAGGGGTTTGTTCATATATAATTTGGCTGATTTTATACAACATTTTATTCACAAATGGTGAAAACACGCACTCACGCACGCACGCGCGCGCACACACACACACACACACACACAGAGTGATACTGGGATGTGTCACACTATATTATAAAACAGACTGTATGCTGCTCTCTAGTGTTGAATAAATGTTGGATTTGCACAATATATTTTTTTTAATTATCAGAAATATATCTGATTGTCCTATTTTTATCGTTACATGTAAAATATGGTATAAATCGGTGAAACATCAAAATCAAATGTATGAAGATGCAGCTTATTTTAGACCAATCAAGATATTTTGCATTGTGACATTATTTTTATAAGTATTTTTATGACATTTCCTCTCCCAATTCTCATATAGTGAAATAACCTGTAATTAATTGTTCTGATTTTTGTTGATTTTAAAGCAAAAATAGAAATAGAATGTTGCACTCAGTTACACATTTAATGCTTCAAGAGCATGAAACAAAAATCAAATGATCAAAAAAAAAGTCCACACGCTGAATAATATTCTAGTAGAAAAAATTAAATTCAAATGTAAAATTTAAAATCATTTTCACTGCACTT